CAACATGCGGCAGGGTTACCACCTGTTTAAAAATTAAATTCAACTTTAACTAAGGGAATAACAGACAATTTTTTTTTTATAATGTTGCTCAAAAATTTGTTTTTATTGTTAAAATGCGTATGGACTTCCTTGAGATATAAGTTACAAAGAAAATGATGGAAATAATCAATTTTATCTTGTAAAGCAATGGATAATAAATGTGTAATTGAATTCTAAAACAAAATTTGTGTAAAAAACTATTTTAGGATGATGATGAGTGCCAAGATTCTTCATCGGACCCTTCTTCCTCTTCTGAAGACTCTCCAGACTTCGTGTCATCCTTGGCTCATACTAGCTCTCGAGGTTAGTGAAATTTTTGGCAAATGTATAGAAAATTTTGACAACTGCAAAGATTGGTGATGTGTATAATTTTTCTGCCCCAAATTTAAGCAAAAACAATAAAATATTAGAAAATGGAGTTTTTGGTGGTGGCCAAAACTAAGAAGTATTACACTATATTAAATATTTCTTGTAAATGAATTTAATTAATGTTTTAAAAGCTTTAATTGATTCAAATTAAATTGATCAAAAGCTTAAATTGATGAGTTGCAATCAATGATGGTACATGTTTTTTTTTTAATATTTATTTCTCTTAAATTTATAGTATTCCTTCTGCGGTTGTTAAAAATTTACTGCTATCAAAAATGATTTAATTTCACACAGCAGATTGGCTAACTGTCTCACCATAGTAAAAATATCATTCACCAGCGTTCCCCGATCCACGCACGCCCTTTGTTTCAAATAACTGAAGTGTAAAATCAAACCAAAAGTCTGCTTCAAATGGTGTGAACGTGACGTGGAAAGTTCGGGAAATAAATTTGTGTAAAATAAAAACATAAAAAAAATATATAAGATTTGTGTTGGTGCCGTTTAATCGGAATCAGTTACGGGTTAAAAAAAAAAATTTTGAAATTTTTATTTTGTTTCAAATTAAATAAACTAAAAATTATGAAAAGTAAAGTGACCTAAAACTAGTTTAAGGGAAGTACTGTGGTTAAACAAATTAAAGTATAAAGTGATTGAATCGATACTAGAGGGAGCGTGAAATCGGTATTGCATAAGCCTAGATAAATTTAATTGAATCGAGCTAAATTGATAAAATAAAGTATAATTTATAAAACTACAAATTAAAATAAAATTTAAGAATCTAAATAGAAATTAAGAAAAATCTATAAAATCAAATTAACGCAAATTAAATTAAAACCAGTTAAATTAAATTAAATTGAACCAAATTATATTGAATAAAATAAAATAAAATTGAAGTAAATTAATATAAATAACTAAAATAAAATCAACAAAAGGAAGTCATATTGAGAATAAATCAAATTTAAAAATAATATTAAATTAAAGTAAATAACAGCAATGATAAATAAAAGCAAAAGAAGGCAAATCTATTTAGTTGTAAATTAGTTTTGGTGGAAAATAGTATGTTCCTTTGAACTTCGGACTAAAATCTGTGGAACTGTCAAACTACAATTTTTCTCTCTCAAGTGAGAGTAAAAGGAGAACAGATGCAGAAGGGCACGGGAACGCAAAAAGCACTATTTCCTGTAAAAACGTCAGTCGGTTTGTTTACATGTCATTTGTACAACACTGATTTGGCTGAAATATCACTAAATAATTATTAAAATCTATACATATCCGAATAAAGAGAGTTGGAAATCTGGCTTCTGTGTTTACTTTACGTGGTGACGTTTTCATTAAAACTTCAAGGGACTCAGCGGCAGTCAAAGTCAGCACACATGATGATCTCAAAGGTCTCTGCTAACACGCAGTATTACTGTTGCCTTATACATGTTATTTTAATGTTTTATTCATTTACTCTTAGCTTATGTTTTTTTTT